GGGGGGAGCCCGGCGTGGCCGTAGCCGGCGGCTGGTGGGTACGGGCCTCCGGGGCCTTGGCCGTAGTTGGGCGGCAGCACGCCAAAGCCCTGCTGCTGCGGGGGTCCGTAGATGTTGTTGTGGAGTGGGTTGGACTCCCCCATAATGGGGTAGCCACTCTTGTCCTGGGACATTTTGTGGCGGAGAGTTCAGGAACAAGCTATGAAAAAGGACAGCACAGAGAAAATTGATCAGCAATTTGAAATCGATAACCGCAGTCCGGGGAGACAGCCAAAGCGTCAGGCAGAAAACAGCAAGGGAGGAGGGCATGCTTGCTCAATTTTTATTGATTTAATTTTACATTGTTACCCAGCCGGCGCTGTCCAGTTCGAACCTGACATAGGAGATTTGCTCCTATAATCTGATCAACTTAAGTTTGATTCCCACAATTCACTAAGTAGGGCCAAGGAATACGGCTGCTATAAGATATGCAGTGTTACCTTTAATTGGTTCTCTGAACAAGGTTGGAACTCAATTTACACGTCTATGTTCCCTATTGAAACGGACTGAACTGGGAAGTCATTTCAGACAATCCTAATGAAAAATTTTTATGTCACATTATGAAACAAAGTACATGAAATAAAGCATGAATAAATAATTTGTTTCATAATTTGACAAAGTCATCGTTTTCCTGAAGTGAGATCCCGACGAGCGTCAAACCCGAAGTGTGATGTCATTTCAAGTCACCAAAACAAACGTATCTAAGGGGATCCAGGTGCCCAATCAACCTGCCACCCGTGTTTTGGAAAGTGGGAGGAAACGCGAGTACCCAGAGAAAACCCACGCAGGCATGGGGAGAACATGCAAACTCCACACAGGAAGGCGGGAGTCGGAATCTAACCCCGCACCTCTGCACTGTGAGGCCGACGTGCTCACCAGATGACCACCATGCCCAGCACTATTAAAATACCGTTAAATTAGATTGTAATTAGAAGATAAAACAAAGCTGTTTGGTTAAGATCTTTGGAGCTCAGGATTATGTTTTCGCTTTGTGACCTTAAAAAGAAAAAAAAAAATCAGCCCATACTGATTAGCTATAATTGACATGATTTCTGGTCACATGTTTGTCTCATGGCAATGCTCCTTGTTTCTCAACAAATTCACGTGTGGGTCCTTGTGATCATCAGGACAAAACATGGTAGCAGGATATGCTTGATAACAACAATTAGATAACACGGTTGTGCACGGAGGCAGAAGAGACATTTTGTTTACACAACAGTGCGGAACCAGCAGATGAAGCCAAGCCATGTGACAAAATGCGTGATCATCTCAAATATCCAACGCCCAAAATTGTTAGACCACAATGATTTATGGGGAGTGATACTTGTTTTTTTTTTTTTTTGGGGGGGGGGGTAAGTAATCCGATCCATTTTGCATTTTTTTCCGGCCAACGCAAACATTTCCAATCCTCTTAGCGGAGAAGCTCCACCGTGGTGGGTGCGGGCTAGAATTGAGCTAAACTGGGGGAGAGGTTGAAACACAATTAGTCCAACATATGCCCTGACGAATGCCTCACATCATATTACATGCATGACCGAGCAAGTCCAGCTAGCGTGACGCTTAAAAAAAAAAGGGGGTCAGTCTCCCATTTTAATGATGTAAACACGGCAAGTAGTAACACAAAATGAGGATAACTAATGCAGCAGTGTGTCAAGCTGCTGTCAGGCAGATGTGCCGCATCAGCAGCATCCCTGCCAGTGATGTCCGAAGCGCTGATGCCTGGCCTTGTGACCGGTGGATACGTTTGCAGTCAGAATATTTTTGTTTTCTCAACAAAGACCATTTAGTAACCGGCAACCCATCATTCAGTAGTAGCACAGCGAAAGCAATCGTAAAATGGTTGTCAACCAACTAACGTACGCATCATGTGATCAAAGTCATTTCTTCCACATTGTAAGCATCACAAAATTTGGTTTGGAGTGTTAAGAACAATCAATTTCTTGGAATGTAGATTTCCACTGCATGGGGTTACTGGAAATAAATCTTATACATCTTGCATAGAAAACATCAGGATTTCACAAAAGTCCAAAGTATTGGAATATGATAGACTAGTGAATTATTTCCAGCCATGGTCAATCATTTGACCAAAACACCTTCACCACAGTGGCCTAAATTGTACACTGACAATCTTCACCATCTTACGTTGGTATTTTTTTTTTGGGGGGGGGGGGAACAACGTTGAGGTTAATTTCGATGCAAACAGATTAAAATAAGACAGTTTGAAAGGTAAAAGTGGAAGTAAAGAGCATATAAGACTCTAGGTGGCGTTCTGCGCCACATAAATATCCAAACATGGAGCACCAGGAGCGGGCGCTCTTCCAACATCAGGGCCTCGCGGGTGCAGATGAATGCGACAGGCATCCAAGCAACGATGTACAGTGAAAATTTAACATAAACGGTGTGTGGAAATAGATGTCAACTACGAAGTGGTCATGGATGGCGATGAAGGGTTAGCCGAGCTAGTTGACGAACACCGTTAGTTCACCCCGATTATTGACGTTTACCGTTATTTTATCTCTGACTCGGCGGACGTTCTTGAGCATTAAAATGTAACATTCAGCATTAAAATGTAACATTCAGCATATTCAAAAGCCACACGACTTTACGTTGACGTCGCTTATTTTTGTTTGGGTGACGCTAAAGCCCAACAAGCCCGGATGATACAGTACTTGCGAAGCTAGCTGGCTGGCTGGCTGATACCCGCAAAACAGAGTGCACAATAACGGCTCAAAATGTGAACAGCTCGCTGCCAAATAGAGCGACTGACCGTCTGTTTCTCCTCTTTTGTCCTTCTGGAACGTTCGTTGGAGACTGTGCGGTGTTTATTTTTAATTCCGTTAATGTCTCGTTGTCGCTGATTGACGCGGCTGCAGCGCCTCCAACGTCAAATGGGTCAGGCGATTACGTCACCTCACGACGTGCAACGTAGGTACGCCATTGTGACGTTGTTGGTCACGTGTTTAATATTTTTTTGGGGTTTTTAGCATAGCACATGACAAAATGCGCTGCCTTTATCAGATGACTGGTCGTTTGACCCATGTCGGAATTTTCACTTTTGAGGTGGAACGTTCTCGGTTATGTGATTTGTTATTCCAGCGCAAGCTGATGTCCTATTTTTTAATACATTTTTTTGAAATGGGTTAAATGAGCAAATATGTTGGTTTAAAAAAAAGACCTTATTTTTTGCATGTATCTGTTGCAAAGTTTATAATTTTCCAAATAAAAAAAAATCACAAAGTTGGGGGTTGTGCGTGTGTATGTTTTATATATATATATATATTTTTTTTTTTTAATATATATAAAACACACACACACTCACGCTTATTATCATGGTTAACTTTTTCCAAAAAATGGAAATGCAAATAACGTCAGGGTTAAGCTGTCACCATCATAAAGCTTTTATTAAGAGTACAGGCGATTGAGCCCTCTTGAAGTTTTACTTAGCCAGTAAAAGGTCTTCTCATAAGTCAACTGATGAAAAATTGTTTTCAAAATGCCAATTGATCAGAGGTTGCCTTTACTTCTCATGATGGATTGAAGAGGAATAGTCTTTGCTTCTCATGAAAGAAAATTGGGAGTGGCAATTGTCTTCTCTCCTCACAAAAGCCCCATTGAGCAAGATTGTCTTCTCTTCTTCCAAACGTAAATTGAGAAGAAATTGGGTACCGTACTAAAAACGCCCAGATATTTTCTTCTCACTGAAGCCCATTGACAAGAAATTGTCTTTTCCTCTCACAAAGGCCCCCTGACAAGGATTGTCGTCTCTTCTCATAAAAGAACAATAAGGAACTATGAGCTTCTGTAATGACAAATGCTCAGGTGCAGGATATTGCCTTCTCTCCTCTCAACACACGTTGCCCAGAATTGATACTCTTCTCAGAAAAGAAGACTGACATTTTCTTCCCATTTCACAAACAATGGCTAAACGTTCTCTTCTCTTCTCCCGCAAACCCCTCATGCAGATACCATCTTCTTTTTTCATGAAAGCCCATCGATCAGAAATTGTCTTCCCACACATTATTCCTTGCAGAACCTTGAAGTAACACCAGTATATTTGGTTGTCACAGCTAATAAGCAGAATCTCTTCATGTAAGAGCTCTTTGATGTCGCCGATGTTTGTGTTGTTTTTATCTCCACCTCATAGCTTGGTGAGGGCACAACGCGCTACTGGTTGTATGCTCGCGCCTGAAGCAGGTTGTCCAGCTCCGTTTTGCTGATAGTTCCATACGCCTGGCAGTAGCTGCCCAACTTGGCGCGGGGGTCGCCCGCCGCCGGCACATTGCAGTTGTTCTGGAAGACCTTTTTGCTGAAGCGTGGTGCCGGTCGCTCATCACGGGCCCGAGAGCTCGAGCGGTGGTTCTGCACGGGACCAACAGAGGAAAGTAGTCCACCCAGTGCTTAAATAGCCACAAATGTTCTCGCTCACCCACCGGGTTAGTGTTAGTGATGCTCAGTCCCGGAGGCGAGTCGGTCTTGCGTACCAGCGGGTTGTTCTGAGTATGAGCGAGCGTCAGTGAGAAGGTGTGGTTGAGGTGCGCCGGAGCTGAGCGACCGCGCTGGATAATCTGGTCCATGGACTTTGGGGAAAGAAGAACACTTTATGGTGATGAGGTTCAAAAAATGCGAATGGGGTTTGGGGATCCACTTAAACACACAGTGTTGGCTGTGGCGCCCTCTGTTGGTGACGAGGTGGCACTGCCGCTTCTCTGTCTTGCTGCTCTCATGCCAGCTGCGGTTGGATGAATAAACCCATCTGGATGAAGACAATCAGAGCTGCGGTCCAAATTACTAGTTTGATAATGCTCGCGGCTAACGTCAGACTTACTTGGCGCGTGTGTGATGGGGTTATAAGTGCATCTGCCCGCGAGGGGATTCTCTGAAGGTGCCATCTTGTCCACAGGAGGAGGCGGTGATGTGTTCTCTGCCTTTGGGGGACTTTGACTTTTGGTCGTTGCGTCCTGGTTTTCGTCCCCTCTGTCTTTCTGGCCAAGTTTATCCGTGCCGGTCACGGCCTCTTTGGGGTGGATGAGTCGGAGCAAGCCCTGATGGCTTTTCCTGTCTCGAATCATCTGTGAGGCAGCGTCATGTTCAGTTTCTGAAGACTACAGAGGTACCTTGATTGATTGATGAGTGACCCTAATTGTCGATTTTTAGGGTTGCGAGCCGTCAATCGGGCAATTTTTCGCCTTGTTTGCCAGACAAACTTTGTTATGACTCATGTTCAGTTTCTGAAGACTACAGAGGTACCTTGATTGACGAGTGCCCTTAACTGTCGATTTTTAGAGTTGCGAGCTGTCAATCGGGCAATTTTTCGCCTTGTTTGCCAGACAAACTTTGTCATGACTCAGCGTTTAGACACAAAGCTGCTTTAGTGAAGTGAAAAACAAAAAATCATTCGTCTTTCAGTATCTGAACAGGATCAAGGGTCAAACATATAAAAACAATGACAGCACTCACAGGGCGCAAAGAGGCAACGCTAACTTATACAATCAGTTCATTTCTTTTTATTTCAGATCTCATATTTATACATTCGCATATGGTATACGTTTATTTACAAAGAAAAGCTATATATTTTTTAGAACAGATTGATAGCATATTTAAATTTATTTTAATGGGGACAATTGATTTACTATCTTGGCCTTCTAAGTCACGCTTACGTTTGTACCTCGTAGAGTTTGTTGCGGTACTGCTCCACCGATAACTGCACGTCGTCGTCCAGCGGCAGAACAACGTCGTAGTGGAGAGATAGCTCCTTGCCCGGATTGTGGAACCTACAAAACAACAATACAAATTACACATAAACTCCGACACCATACAACAACGTTTCAGGAAGACACCCACTGACAGTACAATATGCAGTGTCATGTCCTGTATTTTCTCAACCACAAGGTGCACCTAAAAGTCTTCGTTTTCTCCAAAATGGACGGGGCGCCAAACAATGTGCGTCGCGTTGTGTTATCCAAAACAACATCCTGAAAATGGCACCGACTAAGAGACACGCTTACCAAGCACAGTTTAAACTGCAGGCTATCAGTTACGCCGAGGACCATGGGAATCGAGCACCCGCGTGAGGTTTCAAGATCAACCAATCTATGGTGGTTTCCTTTTATGAAACAGCGCCATCTATCCATCGACGAACGTGGCAAAGTAAAACGTGTAATGTTCCGCATTACATTAAATAACGACACTGTTGCAATATTTGGCGAAAAATGTCAACTATGTCACAATACAGCGGTTGTGTGCAAAACAATATATGGATGAGATATATCTTCAAATGGATCATAAAATCTACACAAGAAAACATGAGCTCACAATATTTTGCCCAAATTATCAAAAGTATCGGGATGCATCTATGACACACTAATAGTGCACCAGAAGAAAACAAATTCCTAAATGCCACGTGAGTACCTGGCTACATAAGGATGCTGGAGGGCGTTTTCCGCAGTCAACCTCTTGTCGGGGTTGAAGACCAGCAAACCCTTCAGGAGGTCCAGGGCATCGGGGGGCGCCAACGACTGCAGGAGGTCCTCCAAAAGAACCTGCGGCCTGGCCCGGGGAGAACAAAATCGGAAAAATATTTGTTGACAATTCAAGCAGGACGAGAATTCATATTGCCTCACCTTTGCAATATTCTCTGAATGACCGACGACCCAATTTCAGACTTGACGGCGAGGACATCTGGGAATTAAAATAGGCTTAATTAAAAAAAAGAAAAACATGATCAAGACATGCTCGGAGGGGCGTTATCGGTCACCTTCTGGACATGGGTGCGGTATGGCACTCATGATCTTCTCGATCTGATTGATGGTGGACGTACCGGGGAACAAGGCCCTTCCCAGCAACATCTCTCCCAGGATACAGCCCAGGCTCCACATGTCCACGCCCTTTGTGTACCTTGCAACCACCAGTTCTTGTTTGTGACACTTGTGCGTGCTTGAAATCCCTTTAACAAGTCAACAGTGTACCTGGTAGACCCCAGCAAGATCTCGGGAGCCCGGTACCACCTGGTCGCCACGTACTCCGTCAGCGCCGGGTTGCCGCTGTCCTCTTGATCCTGGCTGAGGGATCGGGCCAGGCCAAAGTCGCACAGCTTGACCACACAGTCCGAGTCCACCAACACGTTGGAAGGCTGAAAAGAAAAACAAAACCGGTAGGTTAGCGTGAAAAGCTTCAGATCAGATCAAAATGGCGGACTTCCTGAGACGTGGTCGCGCAATTTGGTTTTGAAGGGTGAAAATCAAAGTGTAGCACCATTAAACATGCTGGAATCATACCTTTTGGTCCCGGTGGATGACGTTACCCGAATGCAGATATTTGACCGCCTTGAGCAGCTGGTACATGACATAACGCTTGTGAATGTCCTTCAATAGCGTTCCTTTCTTTATCACCGCATGCAGGTCGCTGTCTAGATGAAACAAAAAACCCAAACAAATACACACACACATCGAACAGGTTTAATAAGCATTTTGGAAGCGACGTTACGTTGCCATTGTGGAAATACGTGGTAGCAAGATAAACGCTGAGCGGAAGCTTTCCAAAACTCACCCATGTACTCAAAGATCAGATAAATGTCTTTGTCATTTTGTGCCTGGATAACATTTTGGAGTTTGACCACATTGGGATGATCGCCAAATTCCTGCGCACACACACACACACACAGATGACAACAACAGAACATTAGGTCAATTCTGACTGCGCTGTTGATTTTAATTAGTTTGGTGTTTAGTGTGAGTCCTTAAATTTCGTTGTCTAAATTTCATTCAATTTGATGACAAATCCAACAAAATCTTTAGTAGTTTTTGTAGGACCCCTGGACATGGCTCCTTGAGGCTTTTTTGTGGATTGACTCATGACAGACATCCCGACCAAAGTTCAAGCTCTGTGGTGCAACTGGACAAGACGAACAAATCAATCGAGGTTCCTGAGTATCAAACTTAGCCAAAATAGCCTAAAATGGACACTTGGAAACAATGTAGCAGATGTCCAGCATTTTTTTTCAGGCAGTTTATGAGGCTTTTGGGGGTGGGGGGTGTACTCATATGGACAAGCTGACCAAATTTCATGTTGAGCTGAAACTGGCTTTGCAGGCTGAATTCATTTTCCAGCGGGAGCTACCAGGCTAATTTTTCAGGTAAAGGCTGGTTGAACGTTAACTGACAGATAGCAAGTCAAGGCCTTCTACACAACAAGGGACGAAGGAATTACATAACAGAAATAAACCACTGCACTTTCGCTTTATTTTCATAGGTTGCAAATAGCAGGGTGGCAAGGATTTTTTTTTCTTACCTGCAGGAACATGACTTCTCGAAAGGTCCGCTGTTCAAGAAAACAACAACAAATAAACAATCGGGATGTAAACTCAAGGCAGTCAAGCATCCCGAAGGATGCAGTCGTTGGACAAACATGGATGAATTTCAATTTCTGATGGCGTGCGTCTCAAATTGCAAAAATCACCCACCTGAGCGTCTGTCTTGTTCCTGAAGGCGTCGAAAATCTTCTTCACCGCCACGATCTCGCCCGTTTGCCTGTCCACCGCCTTCCAAACGATGCCATACGCCTGCCACACGGACGCAAAAACTACTTTTTGATACTTTATTATTGATTGACATTTTTAAGTGCCTTGTTAAAATATTAGCAGCCCCGTGTTTTGTATTGCCTAAAATCATCATAAACTACGTATACTTTTTCCACATGCCTTGTAGTAATGACATTATAATTCATAATTACTAACGATCCATTATTTCAATGTACTGTATTCCCCCTCAGGTGTAAGACATATTAACCAGCTGTGTAACATGACACTCAACAGCCCATCTTCCCACTCCACAACCTGTTGGATGTCAGAATGTTGCAGTGTCCGGGGGCGGGAGAGGGTGGTTATTATTAGTAGTTTTAACTACAGTATTTGGTAATTGTACAAGGAGCGGCCAAGAGTCAGAAAATTGCACCAAGCAAATAGTTTGTGTAATAAGGTAAAAACGGAAAAAAAAAGACGCCAGTGAGAGGCAAACATTGTACAACTTCAAGGTGCGTGATGCGTTCAGATGCTCCATGTACAAAAAGTATAAAGCCACTCACCCCTTTGCCAAGTCTTTTCCTTATCTCGTATTTCGTGGATATGTGTTCTTCAACTTCAGGCATGCTGCCGGATTTCGAACTTTTGCTCATTTTGAACACCGCCACACTTTCCTTACACGACGGCGCCTCAAAAAGTCGGACGACACACGCAAGACTGCAAAGTAGTCGTGGCGAACCGGAAGTGCTGATGATTCTCCAGTCAACAGTCGTTATTTTACTTCTTTCCACGCCATGAACATGTTATTTGAGTGTATCGTGCGTCACTTGGTCGCTTTAGTGGCTGTTTAGTAGCTTGAAGTGGTTGGTAAGTCCCGTTAAGCGAAGTCGGCCACGGAGGAAGAGCCAAGCAGGTGGAGCCATTTTACATCCGACGCTAAACAGCCATTTTAAAGTTTAGCAGCCCTTCTTGCCGTCAGTTTAGAGCAGCTTGACCGCAACATGGTTGCCGCTCGGCCGTGTGGCGCGTCGCGTCGAGTCGGGGTCGTGGTGCGGGTGGTGGGAGCCTGGGAAGTGAGTTTTGTCTCAACTTGTCGTCGTGGAAACCGGGGGCGGGAGCGCGTGTTGCTTAAAGGGCCGGCAGCCGGCCAACGGGCGGCGACGATTGCCGTGACGTCAGGCGTTCGCTGTTGTCATGGTGACACGCATCGCGTAAGAGAGGGGCACGTGCTGTATGATCCCCCTTCATTCATCAGAGTTGCTTCACTTGAGTGAAAATCTAAAGAGCAAGTTAAAATATTGTTTTTGTATTAAAGAAATCGAAGAAAACCCCATTAAAAAAGACATGTCAATAGGGGATTAGAAAAGGGGAAGTAACGGGAAATAACGATTTGGCTGCTTTGTCGGCCCCTGCTTGCAATGAAGGGCACAGACAAAGTAATCATTTATTCGTTCCTCACGTTGTTTTTCGGACTTTTGTTTTTGCTTTGTAAATCTCATTCACTTCCTATTAAAATATTTCTTGAGATTTTTTTGTATTACTTTTCATTTTCTTATGTATACAATAACATCTTAACGCCGACTACATAATCTCATGTTTTTGGTGTACCGGTATATGTGGCATTAACATTACAAAATAGATTTTGTGTATAACAAACATATCAAAGGAATACATTTATACTTAAAATATGTAATTATGTAGAAAAACTCTATTGTAACATTTTGCTCTGTAATTTTCTTTCAATATTCAGATGCATATTTATCAAAATATAAATGAATATACAAAACGATGAAAAAAAAATTAAATGTAAAAATTGTACTTGTACGAAATATATATAATTATGTGTAAAAGGAAAGCACGTCTTACATTTTGGAATTTATTAACATATTAAAAAGATTTGTGTGATATCACACCCAAATTATGAAATCCTAGCACACACCATAATCTGATTGAGGTATGTTTAAATTTTTATTATTAAAAAGAAGTGTGTCTGATTTGGAATTTCAATATCCAAATATTTGTATATACAATGATACATCTTAATAAATATTTACTGCAGTCCCTAAATTGGGTCCATGAGGAAAGGTGGCTAGAGTACTTAAAATAAGACACAGTGAGTAATTGAAGACACTACAACTGTACATTAATAAACATTAATCTAATCCTCACAGGTTTTAATAGGATAGAGAACCTAATTATTTTCATTATATAGTCCTTTCCCTGTCATTTGGACAACACAACATTGCAGAAGGAAAGAAACAGACAAAAAGGTTTTTACCGAACATGGATAAGGATTCATGGAAAGGTCATGTGACCCAAAAAGACAAACGTAATTGGCTCAGGAGGAGTGCAGGAAACGGTTGAAGGCATTATAAGCCGACTCCAGATCGAAGAGCATCTGGCGCACTTGGCTGTCGTCTAACTCGTCCGAGGCCGACATGCTGCTCAGGGTGCTCAACCTGATGACACACGAGAAGCATTGAAAAAAAGCGCGTGGGTGCCTGTAAAGCGGACGCCGACTCGCCAGTGACGCCGACTGACCAGAGGCTGACTTTGTCCTTGGCCTCCGAATCAGGAGGCATGTTACTCATTCGGTTCATGGTCTCCATCAGCTCACGCAGGTCCGGTTGGATCTAATCCAAACAGAGGCCTGGTTAAACATTCGTGCTTTGTAATTCTGTTGGTAATCAAAACAGCACCACCTACCAAGGCAGGAAAACAATTTTACGTGCGGACAGATAACGGCGTATGAAAGATGATGTTATGGTATGCTGAGACAATATCTTGAGGGACAATAACCATTCTGGTAGACTGAAATGTCGAAACGTCACAATGTTGTGCGCAACCACGTTAAAATAAATAAACACTACCCCAAGTAAACCAGTACCCCAACTCACTGCTAAATCTTGAAACTTACCTCATCCATGGCTCTGATCTCCAGTCTCAACTTGTCCATGACGGTGATGAACAGCTAAAAACAAGCGGAAAAACAAACAAATTAGTAAGGAGCAACTAGAGGAAATAATGACCTCACCTCGATGTATTCATCATTAGCTGGGATTAAGTCTAATTTCTAGTGATTTGCCAGAAGGTTTAAACCATTCACTTGAGCCGCTCAAGGTTCAACTTGATCACATAAACACTCCATCATTTCATTTTGAAATCTCCTGGCATGAGTGTCCCATCCGGACTGATTGAAGGGGGAACGTACAGAAACTATGTCGGCGATGCAGCGGTTCAAGTTGCCCTTGTCGTCCTTGATGGTGATTGGCCGATCCTCCTTGATCCTTTCCATGGCCAGTGGGCAGTCTAGCTACAAGAGGAGAAAAACCATTGATGTAAGTACCTCATTATGATTAGCATTCAACAAAAAAATAAATCAGGTTTAATAAGAAAAAATTCTGTGATTGCATACGGCAATCAGACACAGCTGACTTCTTTCCATCCATCATTTTCATTCACTGGAATTAAACCTGAACGTGATGTAATTTGATCGCGGGTGCACCAATCATCCTGAAGCAAAGTGCAACATAATTTTATTATTTTCATTTGAAGAAAACTCACTCTGTACTTGCGGCAAAAGTCGTCGATGGATCCCACGTCGGAGCCCTGCACCTGTTTGAACGCTGCCTTGTACTGTACCAGGAGTCTGGAACACGAGCCGGTGTACCTTAAAAACGACATCCATTCATCAAGAGAAGCAGGATAGTCGATACTTTGTAAGAATACTTCATCCCAACTCACTCATTGGGTGTGACGCAGTCTTTGATGTAGGCTTTCTCCAGAGCCTGCAAGGTCTTGACCACAGCAAACAACTCTGCCATGTTGTCGTACCTTCACAAAGAAGCATCCCGCAGTCATGAAGAATCCTTCGAACATTCAAACATCGTATGACACTTACTTTTCTCTTTCTCTTGCATTTTTGTACAATTTCACCTCCTAGAATGATTAAAAAAATAAATATATTCACTTACAATCATCGAGAGAAACTGTGATTTTGATCGACTTTTACCTCATACAGCTCGGGTTTATTGGGTGGCGCTCCTGAAAAAAGAGGAGGCCACAACTTCAGATGTGGTTTATAACAATAACTACATTTGCTATTAATTACTTGCAAAGTTCCACACATTTGAATAAAAATCATCCTACCTCCTCCCATGCTACTTGTAACCGGTATGCCATGGAACATGATGTTTGATGTATCAACTTAATCTAAGAAAATAAGAAATTGGGTCACTCGCATTCATGTGTTTTATACTCGGTCTCAATAATTATTAACACGTCACGGAAGTAGTACGCCACCAAGCACGACAACGTTCATTCGCTCAAACCAATAATAGTCCAATTATTTAAAATTACGTTTGAATTTAACAACAAAGGAAAAAATATCACAAGTGAAACTGAGAATGTCGACAAACTAATAGCTTGTCGCCCTTGTTTTGTTAAGAGGACCATCTAGGTCGAAGTTAACATTCAATGCTAATTCGTAGCATCGTCCTTTAAAATAGGCACAACATTGACAGATGTGGTCAAAAGGTATTTTTTGGGCATATTAACGCAACTTTATAAGATCATGTTGCCACGTGTGCCTTTAATCGATTAATATATGTCACATTTAGAACCAAAACTATATCATTTAAAAGTCGACACTTACCCAGTTCCGTGGAGCAGCAATGACGTCAACGTAAACACACCCTCCTGCCAGGACCGTGGGAGGTGAACGCCTGATCGAAAATAAACGATTCTTCTCTTTAAAGCCATACTATCGGGCGGTTACATTTAGCATTAACATTTTTATAGCTCAAACATTTGACAATATTACAGGTTTGTGCTGTTGTTAAACAGTTTCATGTATATGGGGGCCATACATTTTTCGACAGTCAAACGTCAGGGACAGCCCGTCGTCGAGGCGCCAGACTCAAAAAATACAAAAAAGCGACCCGATCAAGAACAAGGTAAATATATTGACTGAATAATTTAAACGAAGAGTGTAAACGATTGTTTTATCAAGGCAGTTAAAATGTTACGTTCAAATGTGGCTATGATTTCGCGTGTTATGATTTCGAAACGGGTACCTGTTTCACGTTCGTTGTCGTGAACGTTGTCAAACCCATCACATAACTTGAGTGTTGCTTCTTATAAATGTTTGAAAATATTATTCCTTAAGCGTCCAGCATGAAGACGTGCAAAGGGGTACAGTCAAACCCTGCCCCCGAAGAATGCGGAGTGTGGTTGGACACCGTGGAGCTCAAAGGAAAAGCAAAGCAGGTTATTGACGATGAAGAACAGGACGGTCGCCACTCTCTTAAGCGACATTTCACCAATTTTATTTTATTTTATTTTTTTCAGAAAAAAACAGTCAGGCCCATCTCCAAGATGCTCAACCCACTGGCCAAAGCTGCCGGCTACAGCTCGGCTGTAGTATTCAACTTCACACAAACCAAGACGGAGATGCCAAGAACCAAACAGAGCTTTATATCCAGCTACTTTTCGCCTCGAAGTAAGTCTGATGTGGCATCGGAAGGAAATCTTGGACCCGAAACAGACGGTGAGATGTGTGAAGACGGAGACGCTCAAGAGCATGATGAAGAGCACAACATTAACTGCGAAATCCAAGAAGAGCAACCTAATGAGATGGAAAAGAACATCTACCGCAAAAGGCAAAAAGATGAAATGGAACAGAACATCGGCCGCAAAATCCGAGAGGAGCAACCAGACATGTTGGAACAGAAAATCCACCGTGAACTCGGAGAAGAGCAACCAGACATGATGAAACACAGCATTAGCTCCAAAGTGGGAGAAGAGCAACCATACGAAATGGAACAGAACATCAGGCCTCCAGTCCGACAACCAGACAAGATGAAACAAATCATCCATGGCAGAGTCCGAAAAGAGCGCCAAGATGAGACAGAACAAACTCTCTGGCGTCAAGTCCGAGAAGAGCAACCAGACAAGATGGAACGTGAAGTCCACCTCAATGTCCCAGAAGAGCAACAAGATGAGATGAACCATAGCCAAGAATCTTCTCTTCCATTAAACCGAAACTTAATCAACTTTGATGTAAGCGAAGAGGCGTTTCGGATGGAGGTTCAAGGGAAGAAAACCTCCACTCAGAAACTGATTCGTCTTGCTTACTCTTCTCTTAATGACGACAAGAAAGAAAGCAGCCCATTACCCGAGGGGTTTTCTCCTCCGAAGAAGCGAGCGAGGCAGCATGACGACGAAGACAGCCTGGTGCGGCTGTTCACGCAGGACTCTGACGGCTTTCGGGTGATTGCGCACCGGGGTCGGAGGAGTCCCCTCAAAAACCGCAACAACAACATCGTCGTCGCAGCTGCCACGAGGAAACCCATGACGACTCCGTTTGACGTCAAGGACGTGCTCTTTACGCAAGACTCCCAAGGAAATATGGTGATTAAACACTGACACAAGGGGAACGGCAGAGAGATTTTATTTATAAAAAGTTGGTTTTGGTTTCATGGACAATAAAGGTTTTTATTTATCACGCACTGTGGACTAACTGCATGGAACGAGTTCTATGATGCAATCAAGTGATAGCTGACATTCATACAAATTGTGATACATGTAAAGGAGTGATCTCATAAAGAGATAAATTGGGGTAGGTTGAGCGATTTTTTTTGCCTTCATACGGAGCAGAAAATGTAAATGTTTCCATTTTTATGACAGCTTTAGTTTCAGCATACTGTTAGTCTCATAACATAATTTATATTAAACATAGATAGTATTAAAATATTGGGGGTGGGGCCATCCAATAGGCTAACTGTTAGCATTTGCCATGCTAACCATCAATCAACCTGCCATTTCGCTGGGTTCGGTCACCAATTTGGATCCATCCCAGACGGTCTTGAACTGCTCGGGAAGCGGCAGCTCTTTCTGTAAAACAAAAATGATTTAACAAAATGGCTGACTCAGTTCCTCCCTGGATGCACGCAGACACTCACGTAGTCATCGTCTCCTTGCGGTATGAGGACGTTCATCTCGGAGCTTTTGGCGCTGACGATGTGGCAGCTTAAGGACTGTTGACTGAGGTACAGCTGACATCCTTCCGTTTTATTGATGGAGATGGTGGGCACAGTTCCTAATACCTGACAAAAAAACATGATAATAATGACATCCCCACCCTTGAAACCTGACTTCATTGAAACCTTATGACTGCTTTGAAATCCCACAGTGAAACCCTCACTCTGGATCTAAACACTATCCTTGAGTTGAAACCATCAGGCAGGCTTGAAACCTAATTTTGCAACCTTACCTTAAAAACCTTAACCATGACTGGAAACCCTAACTCGGACGGGGAAACATGAATTTGAAACCATACCTTAAAAACATAAGCCAAGCTTAAAATGTCCAGCGTGAAACCTTAACATGAATTAAAATAACGATGGGCTTGACGCTGGTGAGACAACTTATTTTAAAATGACAACACTGACTTAAAACCGTTGCTGGAAATCCGAAATCCGGATTCAAACTCTCCTTTTCAACCCTGACCCTTGCTCGAAACTTTAATTAAAAACACGAACTCGACTTCGAACCGGCATCTCACCTGTAACTGAATGGCCTTGGAGTTGATGATCTCCACGATTCCCACCACGTTGTCAAACACCAGCCCAAGCTTCTTGCAGTTATCTGAACACGCACACTCTTCAGTTCTTGCAGATTCAACGGCAATAACGGCAATGTATTGAACGTCAAAGTTAAATACAACTGAACTGCACTTAGGCAGTGATTCTCTAGCGTGCCATTAGGAGGAAGCTGTTTATAACTTTCGGGGAGAATTTTCGAGGATTCATTTACCGACGACGATGGAGTTCAACTTCCCTTTAACGTGCAGTGTGGTATCGTTGCAGGCCAACACGTAGACCACCTGCCGCAACTCCGTCTCCTCGATTGTCAGGTCATGGTTGTGCTCAAAGTACTCCTGCAAGGACCGTACCTCCCTTGAGTAAAGCCCTCTGCGATTAGTTGAAAATGCCTCACGGTTCCACCTACCACCCTCCATTTCTTCCCCTCCAGCTCCAGCAGTGGGGGTTTCTTCTGAGGGGCCGCCGGCGGGGCTGACTTCTTGGGTTCGGTTTTACCGCTTGGTGCCTCCTGGGAGCGCAGATGTGGGTTCTTGTGGGACTTCTGGTGGTCTGAGACGTGCTTTAGACCTATGACATGGAATTAAGACAAGAGTGAAGACCCGGAAGTGACTTTATAGACTGCCAGAGGGGTGCTGACCTTTCGTGATGTCCAAGCCCTGATTAAGCTGGGCAAATAGTGCAGCGTGCCCGGAGGATCCGGTGGCCTGGGGTTCTTCAGCCGGGGTTGCGGGTGGAGGCGGAGGGCAGGGAATGCTGGGGCTTTCCAATAGGGCGGCTGGGGCAAGGGGACCCTGCAATAGAGGAATGATTGGTGTAATATAAAGTCACCCACCAGGGGGGAGTGCTGCACTAGGCATTTGGTTTTATTTCAATTTCATTCATATTTTCAATCCGATTCATTCCAGACCATCATGTCGTAAATAAAATCCACAACATAGAAACACCATATTTAAATGCTCTCTAAACATGTTTTTGTAGCATTTAAAACAAAACGTAATTTTTTAAAGGTTTTTACACAAACACATATATCGAGCCTAAGGAACAGGAACGAATAAGACAAAAATTTGTGTGCAAACAGTGCACTGATCAATCTGTGTTTACACAAAAAGATATATATTTTTTCCAAACTAGTAAACGCATCATCTGACAATAAACATTGTTACTCGTGGCCAAAGATGTACATTACAAAATAAAGCTTCAACTATTGCTTTTTGTGGAACCATGAGGCATTTTCAACCAATTGTGTAAAAAGCAGTATTGAAGGGCACTGACATTCAATAATCTTCCCCACATACTCATGTGAGCTGAAAGTACTTCCTGTTTTCGCTCTTTCACGTTTACACTGTGCCAAACAAAACCGTGCCACCACCTAGTGGTCAAGAATGGAATTACTCCCAAAATAAACTGGGGGCAGAACAAAAGGTTCTTAAACTGTACAAAGAACATCCGCGAAATTGCTGGACCGCAAACTCGGCACTCACAATGGAGGCGGGTTGATTCGAATGTCATCGTACTGACTTGACCTTGTCTCATATTGTTTGTCCAAGTGCCTGACCTGAAGCGGACAAAAACTGCATCACATTTCCAATTAATTTAATGTGACAACACAAGAAGTGAAGGAATTTTAGTTTCGGTCCCAAAAAGTGCATAAAAGGGGCCTCGGAGTCGAGGACAGCTGAACAAGGGCTCGACCAGCATGTGTGGTTGGACGCAATAAGCGTCACATGGCGGTCTTGCAGTTTAGGTTACAGCCTGCATACGGGCCCCATTGTCGAAAATCCTCGTTCCCCCTCTGAGGACCACCTGTCGACCCGTAAACTACATCCTTTCATAGACACTTCAGCGTAACAGCTGACACACACGTGCATAGCGTTGTCGGCGCTCAAGTTTCAGCGCAGTTGTCCCACGTTAGTTGCGCTTTTGTAAAAGGCACCAACGTATATCTTGAGGGGAAAATGACATGGAAGTGTTGTTGTTATTTTCGGGGGGTTTTGTTTTTGACTAGTGCGACACTCCGCCTTCTGTCAAGTCAGTGGTGACATCATGGGGAAAAGTTTGCTGTTAGCCCGGATGCTAACGCTAATGTAGTTGATGGAGACTGACCGTCTTGCTCCAGAGTAGTCCGGTGGCGTGGTGGCGCTTGATGAACGACTGCATCTCGGCCCAGATGGACAGGTACGAGCGCACCCAGTCCACGTGACGTCGGTTGCTGAGACAATCAAAGCGTAATCGGTCATTTCATTTGATTTGACGATACAAATCAACACAATGCATTATGTCAAATAAAAGCAATCGGTTGGTCAACTATGTCAAATTAAATAAATGTAATAATACTGTACATACATTCTTTTTAATCATATCCTACAAAATATTAATCCGTAAAATATTTACAATTGAATTTGGGTCGTAAATATTTTACAAAATAAAAATATTTTTTAAAAATGTGCAAATAATTACAATGAATGCTAATGAATGCTTCACATTATTTTTGATATAATATTAACAAAATAAAACATTACATTTTTGATTTTAAATATGAAATATGCAATTCATAATTGCAATAAATATAGGCTAGAGCGGTTGTAATTAGAGTGGTGTGGAATAACATATATTGATATCTTTTAATCATTTCAAGTATTTAGATGCCTTACACTCTATTCTTAACATGTAATTTGTTTCAAGAAATTTAAATGATAAAATAAAATAAAACATTAATTGAAAAAATGTGCAATAAAATTGACGCAGGATGTTCCTTTATACAATATTAAAATAAATAACATTGATTCTAAGAATAATATATACAAAAATAAATCTACAGTTCATATGGAAATGATCATTTTTGTCAAATTTCTGAATAAAATGTGTGTCAGGTGAGCGTATGCCTGACTTGTCAAATCAAATCAAAAGTGCCTTTACGTTTCCTTGTAGTCTTTGAGGACTCTGTTGGTGTAGAAGGTGGCTGCGTCGTTCATCTCCTTCACATAAGGGCCGGGCTTTTGGTTCTAAAGACAAGTGGCGACATCACTGTAAGGTAATAACCTTTTTGCTGTTGCTGCGGTCAAGCTCGCTAGCATCAGCTACTTCAATCGGCGCTTGTCTAAAAGGACTCCAACCAGAAGCGAGGAACGAAGGGCGGCGTCGCAAAGTGAAATTCCATAATCATTGACAAAATGCGTACGCGGTAACAAGAACTTTATTGGTCGTAGAAGTTGTTTGCTACAACACAAACCAACAACTTGACGTCACTGTGTACGGCCGTATGTATGCTACAAGCAAGTTGAAATATTTGAACCAAAATGATTGTTGGAAAGCCACACAAGTGTCGCGATGTTGGTGCGTGTTTTTCAAGTTCTTGTTATTGCGCAGCCGTTAGCCAAGATGGCGTCTCACTTTGCGCTGCTGCCAGTCCCGACAATGTGAATCCTTCCAATTCTGGCGGCGATGGGAATAGCTGAAGCTGACCATGCTAACCGCTATTCTCATCCACCATCATCTTATTTTCGAACATTGTGTCACCTTGGTGGTCGGATCTTTTGCTGCTCGGCGTAGGCGTTTGTAGCCCAGCGACGTCATCGATTAATCGATTCGACTTTTCATCACACGATAGTCGACTACAAAAAAATCGGAAGTCATTTAACCGCTAGCATGTCGGTATAATCATACCACGGCCACCCAGCCGAGGGCGGGGATGCTCTCGCTGACGGCCGAAAGGTGATTGAAGAGCTGGCTGCCGCGATTGCGTTCCCGGAAGCTTTGGATCTTCTGGATGTGGTCCGAGATGGGCTTCAGCAGGTCGTGGAGCTCCGTCTACAAACACCAGACAGCCGGCATCGTGTTCAAGAGCCCGTATATCATTTCCGCTTTAAATCCAACATGTGCAAACGGTGTAAAAATGTCTCGGGGTGTTATTAATGCTATTTTTAGCTCGTGTGACATGATTGTATTCTTTGCACAGAGCTGCAAACGCCCTCACAATGACTTGCCATGAGATGATGTCACGCAGTTACTGGCGGACTGGCAGACCTCTGCCACGAACAGCTTTCATTTGGATCAACGTGATTAACATTCAGCAATTATTTCTGGACAATTAAATACCTTTTTTTTCCCAAACTAGTGAAGTGTTAACAACCGGGAAAAAATTCCCACACCTGCACAGAATTTTATGGAATACTGGATTTGCCCCTATCTCACCATCTTTCACATTTTTCTTCATATTAACCCTTTCATGCACCCTGTAACCTGATAACATGATAAACTGTCCACTGTAGTGACCGCTGTCCCTGAAAGGGTTAAGTGAGCCTTTTTTTTTTTTTTTGCCAAATCCTTCCCATTTACAATCAGACGGTTAAGAACATGGAACATTGCAGTTGCCAATAAATGTTAAAGCCCAATTAGCATG